GGAGGAGGGTCATAGGTCTGGGGAGCTGGAGTCTCCCCCCTCTGCCTACCCCAATCTGGGGGGGCTCGCCATCCGAGGTGGCTGCCTCCCTGCTATGGCGGGACAACAGAGAGCCTCCTCTATATCTGGTAGAGATGGGCATAAATCGTTTTAGAAGAAGACCATTCGTTTATCTTTTTGCCTTGCATATGTTAGAAGATCACATAAAGCTGCACTATTTTGCAGATTAAAATGGAGGGGGGTTAAGGCAGGGCTGATGTTTTTTTTCTGAACAGACAGTAACATTTTGGGACCTCTCCATTAAGTGGCCCTGATGGAAAAGGCTTCTGAGAAATGGCATACGAAATAGCTAACTTTTAATATTCCTGAGCTGTGATTTAATCCTTACCATTTGCCATCCTGGAAGTTGGCTCAAAAGAGTAACATTTTTTACGTTTGCAATGCCCTTATTCCATTACCTTTGTCTGTCCAGGCAGGGCCTGGAGGTATGTCTCGGGCCTGCCTTTGCCATCCAAATAGCCCATTTTTGCTGCTCTGACAGGTAGAGATCCATTTATAAATCGGCTCAGAAGCTATCTGCATCATAATGTTCCACTGGAGTTCAGTTAAAAGATGATGTTCCTAATTTATCTTTAAAAAAATCAACAATTCACCCTACACTGCCCCTCTGATCGACAGGCGATCATGTCTGAATATCACACTGCAATGTCCCAAGATACGTGGAGTAAATGGGCAAAGCAATGCAGCTAGTTTAAGGCAACAGATTTTGGGGAGGGTGCCGATACAGGAACTGGATGACAGGTTTCCTTGTTTATCATACTATATTACCCTCTATAAGGGAGGTACTATATAGATATTCTATCTCGAGATGAGTAGGAAGCCACATGTATGTTTGCAGAGCAAAATGTTCCTCTCACACACCATAATTGCTTTCAAATCTCAAACTAGAACCATAGGGTTGGATGGGATTCAAATCCTTGCTTGGCCTTGAAACTCAGTGGGTGACCTCGATCGAGCAGATCACATCCTCCCTCTGGCCTGCCGCAGAGGGTTATTGTGAGGACTCAATAGGAAACAATGGCACGGGGTAGACAATGTGCAGCCTGTCATTTCTGCACTTCTCCGGCAAACTTGGGCCTCTTAGCCATTCCACACATCCTCCCGCAAATTTTTATAAGTGCTCTAAAAGTCCCCCTGTGCCCCCTTGGTAGAGGTCAAAAGGAAGCAACCAACTATGGTTTGAAAGGTACACTTCAGTTCTGTGCAGGCCCCAAATCATGCAAATGTATTTGTTTGTTCAGTCGTTTAGTCGTGTCCAACTCTTCGTGACCCCATGGACCAGAGCACGCCAGGCCCTCCTATCCTCCACCGCCTCCCGGAGTTGTGTCAAATTCATGTTGGTCGCTTCGATGACACTGTCCAACCATCTCATCCTCTGTCGTCCCCTTCTCCTATTGCCTTCACACTTTCCCAACATCGAAGTCTTTTCCAAGGAGTCTTCTCTTCTCATGAGATGGCCAAAGTACTGGAGCCTCAGCTTCAGGATCTGTCGTTCCAACGAGCACTCGGGGTTGATTTCCTTTAGAATTGATAGGTTTGTTCTCTTTGCAGTCCAGGGAACTCTCAAGAGTCTCCTCCAGTACCGCAATTCAAAGGCATCAATTCTTCGGCGGTCAGCTTTCTTTATGGTCCAGCTCTCACTTCCATACAACACTACAGGAAAAACCATAGCTTTGACTATTCGGACTTTTGTTGGCAAGGTGATGTCTCTACTTTTCAAGATGCTATCAAGGTTTGTCATTGCTTTCCTCCCAAGAAGCAGGCGTCTTTTAATTTCGGGGCTGCTGTCTCCATCTGCAGTGATCATGGAGCCCAAGAAAGTAAAATCTGTCACTGCCTCCATATCTTCCCCTTCTATTTCCCAGGAGGTGATGGGACCAGTGGCCATGATCTTAGTTTTTTTGATGTTGAGTTTCAGACCGTTTTTTGCACTCTCGTCTTTCACCCTCATTACAAGGTTCTTTAGTTCCTCCTCACTTTCCGCCATCAGAGTGGTATCATCTGCATATCGGAGGTTGTTGATATTTCTTCCTGCAATCTTAATTCCAGCTTGGGATTCCTCCAGTCCAGCCTTCCGCATGATGTATTCTGCATATAAGTTAAATAAGCAGGGTGACAATATACAGCCTTGTCGTACTCCTTTCCCAATTTTGAACCAATCCGTTGTTCCATATCCAGTTCTAACTGTTGCTTCCTGTCCCACATATAGGTTTCTCAGGAGACAGATAAAGTGGTCAGGCACTCCCATTTCTTTAAGAACTTGCCATAGTTTGCTGTGGTCCACACAGTCAAAGCCTTTCGCATAGTCAATGAAGCAGAAGTAGATATTTTTCTGGAACCCTCTGGCTTTCTCCATAATCCAGCGCAAGTTAGCAATTTGGTCTCGAGTTCCTCTGCCCCTTCGGAATCCCGCTTGTACTTCTGGGAGTTCTCGGTCCACATACTGCTGAAGCCTACCTTGCAGGATTTTGAGCATAACCTTGCTAGCGTGCGAAATGAGTGCAATTGTACGGTAGCTGGAGCATTCTTTGGCACTGCCTTTCTTTGGGATTGGGATGTAGACTGATCTTTTCCAATCCTCTGGCCACTGTTGAGTTTTCCAAACTTGCTGGCATATTGAATGTAGCACCTTAACAGCATCATCTTTCAAGATTTTAAATAGTTCAACTGGAATGCCATCACCTCCACTGGCCTTGTTGTTAGCCAGGCTTTCTAAGGCCCACTTGACTTCGCTCTCCAGGATGTCTGGCTCAAGGTCAGCAACTACATTGTCTGCATTGTCCGGGATATCCAAATCTTTCCGATATAATTCCTCTGTGTATTCTTGCCACCTCTTCTTGACGTCTTCTGCTTCTGTTAGGTCCCTCCCATTTTTGTCTTTTATCATGTTCCTCTAATATCTCCAATTTTCCTGAACAGATCTCTGGTCTTTCCTTTTCTGTTATCTTCCTCTATTTCTTTGCATTGTTCATTTAAGAAGGCCCTCTTGTCTCTCCTTGCTATTCTTTGGAAGTCTGAATTCAAGTTTCTGTAACTTTCCCTATCTCCCTTGCATTTTGCTTCCCTTCTCCTCTCTGCTATTTCTAAGGCCTCGTTGGACAGCCACTTTACTTTCTTGCATTTCCTTTTCTTTGGGATGGTTTTCGTTGCTGCCTCCTGGACAATGTTACGAGCCTCTATCCAAAGTTCTTCAGGCACTCTGTCCACCAAATCAGCCTTGAGCTCTTGGGTAGGAATATGGTGCATAAATATAACACATAAATAAATAGATAAATAATACTGTACTGTTCCTTATGCATTGATACATCATTACAGAATCAGAGCAATCCCAAACATGCTCTCTAAAATTGCTTGCCATACATTTGGTACCTGCAAGGCAACATGAATAGGGCGACTTGGGATTTAGCCGTCCACATTTCCCCTTGTAACCTTTTGTGCCACAGCACAATTTAAGACTTGCCTCCCTCATCATGTAAATAAAGCTTGCAATGAAACCACAAAAAAAATACAACTGAAATGAAAAATGGATGGTCCTGCACTGCTGACCAAGGAAGTGGTGGCAGAGCCATTTGCCAGCTTGAAGAATGTGTGGTCTTCATCTACCACAAAGCAGTGGTCAATTCTGTTCCAGACTGCAACTACACAAAAAATAACAAGACTATAAACAGTTGGGGAAGGACGATATTAATGCTATGTCATTTCTGAACCAGATCCCTTAACATTTACTTAGAAGCAAATCCTAGAGCCCAGACTAACTCACTGTGCATATACACTTACTCCCAACACAGTCCTATGTGCATTTACCAAGAAGCAAATGTTCTTGGATGAATTTGGGAGTGGCAGGATGAAACTCCCCTTTGCACTGATGAGAAATTCCTCACATTCATGGCTACAACTGAGGGCAGGATTTTTGTCAGGGTAGGGCAAGTTAGTTTGCTCTTTGTGCTCTGAGATGCTGATGAAAACATGAGAATTCTGCACCCACTGTTGTTATTTGTTTTTCTTAAACTGTAGTATGAGCTCTGATCAAATGCTCAGCATCCTATCTAGTCCAAGGCTTCACCTTGCCGACAAAGGTCCACATAGTCAAAGTTATGGTTTTTCCAGTAGTGATGTATGGAAGTGAGAGCTGGACCATAAAGAAGGCTGACCGCTGAAGAATTTATGCTTTTGAATTGTGGTGCTGGAGGAGGCTCTTGAGAGTCCCCTGGACTGCAAGGAGAACAAAGCTATCTGTTCTGAAGGAAAAGACCCTGATGTTGGGAAAGTGTGAAGGCAAGAGGAGAAGGGGACGATAGAGGATGAGATGGTTGGACAGTGTCACCGACACTACCAACATGAATTGGACCCAACTCCGGGAGGCAGTGGAAGACAGGAGGGCCTGGCATGCTCTGGTCCATGGGGTCACGAAGAGTCAGACACGACTAAATGACTAAACAACAACAACAAAGTGCGGGGCTTAAGGTTCCAACTCTATACAGTAGGCTTTCCATAGCTTTGAGCCCTTTAGATGTGTTCAACTTGAGTTCTCACCATCTCCAGCCAACATGTCATTGCTTTGGGACTTCATCTGGAGCAGATTGGATTGGGAAACTCTCCTGTAAATACTTACTTGAGAGTATGCCTTGTAGAACTGCATGGGAGTTACTTTGAAGTAGAACTTGTGTTGATGCATAGGCTTGCCATTCCTACAGGTAGGTTCAAAATGGCAGCTTATTGGCTTATTATAGTCTTCTAGTTGTCTAGTGTCATGAAATTCATAATTTTGTTATTCTAAATAATAAACATAACATTTCACCAAGAGGAAAACAATTCCACCATTTTAAAAAGTATAATAAATGCCATACTGGATTTGGATCCCCTGTGTTAGTTTGATTTTATATCATTTGTTTAAGAAAGATGGTTAACAAATCTTCATTTCTTTCTTCTTTCCTGCATAGATAATTTTCAAGATCAGATGAAGCGGGAACTGGCCTACAGAGAAGAAATGGTTCAACAATTACAAATTGTAAGAGACTCTCCTCTGCTTAAAACTTATTAAAATTTAAAGATTGGTGGATTTTTTTAACGTTTCTTTTAAGTCAGTTTAAAGGTGATTGAAGAAGACCAACAGGAGAACAGTCTTGTACACGATATAGGTCCTACCAGCATATTAATATTAATAACAACAATTCTCTGAGTGTAGAAGCTTGTTGTTATTGTTATGTGCCGTCCAGTAACTTCTGAGGGCTCAGACACATTGCTAACTTACGTAGATTCCAGTCATGATTTTATTTATATCGATGTAAAGTCTTGCGATATATAAATCAGTGCTCATTCACTTTGTGAACAATTCAGTTTGACTGAAATCACTTTAATGTATTTCTGGTACTTAAAACAAGTTTGGGAATCTATTCTGGAATCAGTTCAATTTCCATTCCATTTGAAGAGCACACTCTCGGTTAAATTTTTGGCTGTAATTTCTTTTTTTTTAAGTAAGTGATACATCGCTAAATCACTGCATTAATTTGAAATTATTTCGAAGCCCAGTAGCCAATCCATAAAGATTATACATAACATACAGTACCTCATTCCATTTCATTGGTGTCATACTTCTAGGTCTCTCAAAGACACCAGCTGGAGTGATTGTCCACATTGCCAGTTACCTCATAAGCGGTCGCACTGCACTAAGCGATGCCCCAAAATAAAGATTTTTTTAAAAAAATTAAAAGAAAAATGGTGGTGCCCTGCTTCAGCCTCAAATGCACATCACTACAAATTAAAATGACAGCAGCGGTCACAACCACCACACCAAATTGAAAGGAATCAATTTAGAACAGTGGTATTTTTTTAAAAAGCCCTTGCTAGCAAGTTCAAAAACTATGGCTCCTGTATCAAGATCTGCATTGGTGCCAAAAAGCAGTGAAGAGTCTTTGTTGTGGAATTTGGCACTTAATACACATAATTTCTCATGCTTTACACAGTAAAAGTTTTTGCTGTAGTCTTTAAAGCGTAGACTGATCTTCTGAAACTCTTTGGTGCGCTCCAGTAATCAGTGGATATTTGCAATATGATTTCGAGGGCTACTTCCTCTTAGAAATTCAGCTTGAACATCAGGCATTTCTCCCTCCTTGTAAGGTAAAAGCCCTTGTTGCAACATGTTGAGCATCATGTTGCTTGTGTGGAAAATTAAAGGAATGGTCCTATAGTTACTGCATTCCTTGGCTCCTCCTTTTGTGGGGATTGGAATGTATATTAAAAATTTCTAGTCTATGAGCCATTGTTTCGTCCCTGTTGCCTGAAACAGTTCTATTGTTATTGCACCTGCCTCTGACGATTTATTTCTTCCTAGTACTTTCAGAGCTGCTTTTACTTCACTTTCTAAAACTGCGGGTTCTTCATCTGCCATCCTTTTGTCCTTTCTGTACAGGTCTTCAGTATGAGGCTTCCACCTTCTCTTTATTGTCTCTTGGTCAGATAGTGTACATCCCTGTTAGTTGTTCAGCATTCCTAATCTAGGCTTAAATTTTCCTTTGATTTCTTAGATTTTCTGGAAGAGATATCTTGTTTATCCCCTTTTGTTGTTCTCCTCTTTCCCCACCCAACTCTTTCCTTCTTCTTCTTTTTTTGCACTGATTGCTGTACAAGTAGCTCTCTTTGTCTCTACGTGACAGTCACTGAAAACCTGCAAAACCTTAACCCTATTTCTGACCCTGAGTAGCAATAATCTAACTGGCAGCTTGGTTAGTTCCAGAAGATTTATTTATTAGCTTTATATGCCACCCATCTACAGCATGTCTACTCTGGGCGGTTTACGTATAATATAAAAATAAACGAAGATAAAATCCAGATTAATCCAAGATGGGAAAGGAAAAAAGAAAGGGGGGGAGAGAAGAGGAAGAAGAAGGAAAGAAAAGAAAAAGAAGAAAAGGGGAGATAGGCTAGGTCAGTGGTCCCCAACCTTGGGCCTCCAGTTGTTCTTGGACTACAACTCCCAGAAGCCTTCACCACCACCTCTGCTGGCCAGGATTTCTGGGAGTTGAAGTCCAGGAACATCTGGAAGCCCAAGGTTGGGGACCACTGGGCTAGGTAATGGCTATAGGGAAGGCCTGCCTGTATAGCCATGTCTTCAAGTTAGTCTTGAAGGCCCTCAGTAAGGGAGCCAGGTGGATCTCAACAGGTAAGTTGTTCCAAAGGCGAGGAGCCACTGCCGAGAAGGCCCGATTGCTGTTTTTTCCCCACCGGGCCTCTCTTGGCATTAGGCCCCTCAGCCGCCCAGCCTGACTAGAGCAGGTGATATGGATAGAACTGGGTGGAAGAAGGCATTCTGCCAGGTATTGAGGTCTTAAACCATTAAGGGCTTTATGTGTAATGATCAGCATCTTGAATTGACCAAGGTGGGGGAAATATGGTAAAATCTTTTCAACCCCTGTTAATAGTTTGGTCGCCGTGTTCTGTACCATCTGGAGCTTCTGCATCAGTCTCAAAGGAAGCCCCACATAGAGAGTATTACAGTAGTCTATTCTTGAGACTACCAGCACATGGACCAGTGTGGTGGACCGCGTCTAGATAGGGACGCAGCTGGGCAATCCGCCGAAGATATAAATGGGCAGACCAAACCACAGACACTACCTAGGTCTCCATGGTAAGTGCTAGGTCAAGATGGACCCCCAGACAGCGAACTGGATTCTTTGTGGTGAGAGTCAGCCCCCAAAAGAGAGGGAGTTCTACAAACCACTGACATCAGGGCCACCCACTCACAGGACCTCCATCTTGTCTGGGTACAATCTTAGTCCATTTGACTGCATCCATTGCAAAACAACTTCCAGGCAGCACCCAAGGGATGGAACGGCATCCACTGCAGATGGAAAAAAGGAGATGGAGAGATGGCTATACATCAGCATACATGAAGCTCCACATCCCCGGATGACTCCCCCCACGGCCTCATATAGATGTTCAACAGCATTGGGGGGATGATCGAACCCTGCGGGACCCCACAACTGAGGGACCATGGGACCGGTACATTCTCCCCAAGCTGAACTCTCTGGGGATGGCCCCCAAGAAGCACCAGAGCCAAGCAGGAGTAAGGCCACCAATCCCCAACTCAGAGAGCCTCCCCAAGAAGATATTGTGGTTGACGGTATCAAAGGCAGCTGAGATATCAAGGAGGATGAGCAAGGACATTTTGCCCCTGTTGGCCTCCCTAAGTAGGTCAACCAGCAGGGTGACCAATGCCATTTCCGTGCCGTGGTGCGGCCCGAAGCCCAACTGAAACAGATCCAGGGCATCAGCTTCATCCAAGAGAGCCTGAAGCTGGTCGGCCACCACCCTCTCAACTTCCTTGCTGAGAAAAGAAACATTGGCGACAGGCCTATAATTGCCAATGTCGTCTGCCGTTAAGCTCAGTTTCTTTCTAAGGGGCCTAATGAGCGTTTCCTCATTAGGAAGAGACCCATTTATTATTTCAGTGGCCTGTTCAGTTATCACTGTCCTGGCAGCTTTGATTAGCCAGGCCAGGCAAGGGTCAAGGCAGGAGGAGATGGCTCAGCAGCGATTAAGGATCTTGTCCACCTCTGCAGACATCACAGGCTGAAACTGAGTAATTCTCAACAGACAAGGCACTGCGCTGGACGTCTCAGCTTGATCCACTGTTTCCAAATAGGGTGCAAGATCCCAGCAGATGGCCTCCACTTTTGATTTTAAAAACGCTGCAAATTGGTCACAAGAAATGCTAGATGGAGGCCAGTCGTTGCGGCCAATTCCGGATAGGTCATGTACTATATGGAAAAGTTCCGCCTGCTGATTGGATGCTTTGCTTATCAGGACAGTGAAGTTGGGCTTTCCTAGCAGCAGCCTGTACCTTAGCAAGGTAGAGGTTAGATGCGACCTTGGCATCTTTTTTTATTTTTTACTTTTTTACTTTTTTACTTAATTAATTAATTAATTAGATGTTTACCCCCATCCCCCTAGACAATGTCTACTCAGGGCGGCTTAAATGGATAAAAACACAACAATATGACATATAAAAATCGTCAAAGACACAATTATAGCAATTAATTTTAAGTTATTTTCCATCAGGTTCCACCTCCAAACACTGTTTAGCCTTCTCCTATACCACTTCATAGCCTGCAGCTGGTGGTTAAACCAAGGTGCTGGTCAGGTTCTGCGGTGGAGAGGGTGTTTAGGAGCGATCATGTCTATAGCCCTGGCAGCGGCAGCATACCAGCCTCAACAGGAGTGCCAGCCAGGTCGGTTGGAATATCACACATGGCATCCTGGAATCCAACAGGATCCAGTAGCCTGAAAGGACGGACCATGAAAATAGGTCTCTGCTCCCCACGGGGAGGGAGGGCCACTGTGAGATTGCACTTTATCGGGTGATGGTCCAACCACGACAAGGGGACCAATGGCAGGTCAATCACCATCTGGCCACACTGTCTCTGGTCAGTGGAGAAAACCAGGTCCAAAGTGTGGTCACCTATATGTGTGAGGCTGTTAACATGGGATATGTCCAAGGAAGCCATGGTTTCCAAGAACCCAAGAGCTGGACCGGTAACCTCCTCCTCCGCATGGATGTTGAAATCGCCCAAGACAATCAGTCTCAGGGATCCCAACAGAGCCACGGAGATTAAGTTGGTTAGCTCCGGTAGGGAGGTGGCTGGATCACGGGGAGCACAGTATACCAAAGATGCAGGCTTTGTTTTTATCAGAATAGAAACCAACCAACCTTGTCATTCAAAACATAACAAATGTATCCTTATCTGAAAGTAACATCCTAAGTTTTTCTTGGTCAGATCTTTCTGGGAATTGTTCTAAAATAGTCTTGCATGCTCTTCTGTGCACAAGAGACATTATACTATTTGTAGATCTAAAGTTTCAACTACATGACTTGCAAAATCCGAAGGAACAAAAGA